AAAAGGACTTATTCAGGTAATAAGAAAACGACTCGCCCAGGCGAGTTACCTTCGGCGGACGTTTTAAAGCGACCGGTAATAGGAAATCGATTCGATGGCAATATTACCGGCAATAAATTTGTTTCCGAGGGCGACACATTTTCTTATTGCTGGCAACACAAATTGTTTGGTGGGTTATATCGAAGAAATCAATAAACTTTTATACATACGTCGTAATAAAGGCATTTCCCCTCATGAATTTGTGCGACGCATGATCTTCTCTATACGAAAGACTTGCGAGTGGCTGAAGAAAGCGAATTGTGGTGATATGTTGCTACCCGATTTAGTACAGAATGGTAGCAATGCGGAGGAGAACAATAATGCTTCCTCTGGTGAACAGAAGCTTCGGACTACGCAGACAGCTTCCACCGAAAAGTCTCGAAAGCGCTATGATTTGCCAAAGCATGATAAATTAACTGATTTACTTTTGGATTTCAGTGGTTATAATAAAACAATAAAATAGTTTTAATATAATTTAATGAGAAAATAAAAACGTGTTGTTACACTTGTGTGGTATAATGAGAACAGAATGTTTACAATGAATAGAAATTGCAATGTGTATATAAGCCGATAGGCGGCGCTGTTGAATAATAAAGACGTGAAGTAATTTAAATCCAACACTCCCACTAATTATTTCAAGTCTTTCATTCCCAACATCTCTACGTTTTTGATAAACTTCTGAGTTGTTAACGGCTTAGTAAAAACATCGCCCAATTGGTCTTCACTGCAAACGTAGTAAATCGAAATCTTCTTCGACTCGTATAGCTGCCGAATAAAATGTAGTCGAACATCGATGTGTTTGGTTCGTTGATGCAATTCCGAATTTTTGATAAGTCGAATTGCGCTCTGATTGTCGATGTAAAGTGACGGTGGGCTTTCTTGTGCATAGCCTACGTCACGAAGTAACTGATGTAACCAAACTGCTTCCTTTGCACCTTCACATGCTGCCATAAATTCAGCCTCAGTGGTTGAAAGTGCTACTGTTTTCTGGCGGTGACTCTTCCAGGTAATAACACCTCCACCCACCAAAAATACGTAACCTGTGGTAGATTTTCGCGTATCAACATCACGCGCAAAGTCAGAATCAGAATATCCTTTCAATGTCGTGGAAGGACCAGAGTATTGAATTCCTCGTTCAGCTGTCCCATTCAAGTATCGTAGAATACGCTTGACTGCCGAAACATGTGAGGGCTTTGGATTATCCATAAATCGGCTGACTTCTCCCACTGCATATGAAATGTCTGGTCTGGTCACAATCGCAGCAAACATAAGCGATCCTATCGCTTGTCGATAGATATGGGAATTCAACACACCCATTTTCACATGATTTAGTTAGTGCTATTGCTGTCTGCTGGACTGGATATGTGCTTCGAATGTTGCATATTGAACTTCTCTATAACCTTTTTGATATATGCACTTTGATTAATGAAAATTGTCTTCTTCTTTCGATCTCGGTGTATTTCAATGCCAACGTAATTACCGTCTTCTCCTCGTGTCATCTCGAAATTGTCACTCAAATGAGCCATCACTACTTCCAGTGCCTGTTTGCTTTTTGACAAAATCAATCCGTCGTCCACATACAACATTAGGATAATCTTATTGCCATTTACACTACCGACGAACACACATGGATCTGAATTTCTTGTTCCACACTCTGGATGCTTGTTTTAGTCCATACAAACTTTTCTTGAGGCGGCAAACTAGGTTCTTATCGTCAACTTCAAGTCCTTCTGGAACCTCCATGAAAATTTCCTCTTCTAGGTCCCCATTTAAGAACGCTGTCTTCACGTCGAACTGCACCATTTCCAAATCTTCTACTGCGGCGATCGCAAGAACGGTTCGAATCGAATCGTAGCGCACCACTGGAGAAAATGTTTCCCCATAATCAACGCCCTCCTTTTGTGAATAGCCCTTTGCAACTAGGCGTGCCTTGAAAATTGGGCCGGACATACTCGATTTTCGCTTAAAAACCCATCGACATCCTATTACGTTGTGGTCCTTTGGACGCTTCACCAAATCCCATGTCGAATTTTTCCTCAGTGAACACAACTCATCTTTAATTGCGTCTCTCCACTTTATAGATTCTTCTGAATTGACCGCATCTTCGTATGTGCTTGGCTCTAAAACTACAGCTGAATATCCACTTTCAATTAGACGGCTTGGTTTCTTCAACCTCTCGCGAAAACCATAGCGTTCAGTACTACGTGGTCTTTCTTCCTCTTTTTCGCCACCCGGTATATCATGGCTTGTATCGAAAAAGTCATCCGACACGTCTGAATTATTATGCTCATTTTCATCTGTTCCAGTATTTTCTGGAGACTGCTTAATAGTTGGCAATTCTTCATACGATGTTTGCTTGGATGTTTGCCCATCACTATCATCATCGCCAGCTAGCTGGTACACTTGAGCGTGATTCAGAAATTTCTCGTTTATTTTTACGTTGCAACTTACAATTATTTTCCGTGTAGCTGGATCATAGAGCCGAAAATTCTTTGATGTGGATTCGTATCCAACCAGAAATACCTTTTTTGCCTTGGCATCCCATTTCTTACGTCCACTTTGTTTTGGTATCTGCACGAAGCATTCACTGCCAAAAATTCGCACATGTCCCATTTCAGGTTTCGTCCCAAACCATTCTTCATATGGCGTTGAATTGAGACACTTTTTGTTTGACGATCGATTGAGAATGTACACAGCCGTTCGTACCGCTTCTGGCCATAATTGCTTTTGCAAACCACTGGCAAGCAACATTGTGCGAGCGCACTCTACTACAGTTCGATTTTCACGCCCATTTTGCTCCGGTGTGTACGGTGCAATCCGTTCAACTATCACCCCAGCATTACTCAGCATTCGCATACATTCCTTATTGACAAACTCTGTGCCATTATCAAAACGAATGTGTTTCACAGAATTACCTGTTGTGCTGCGAACAAGTGACAACAAAGCCTTAAGTTTTTCATACACCTCATATTTATTAGCCAGATTGTACACATATTTAAAACTCGTTTCCTCATCTTTAACTAGAAGAAAGTAAGACATTCCCCCAATACCTACTTCTTCCATCGGCCCACACAGATCGGCATGCAAATATTCGCCTTTCTCGGTCACTCGGATTTGCGCTGATTTATGTGAAACACGTTGCATTTTACCAAGATGGCAGTCTTTGCAGAAAAACTTTGTTTCACTCGACAATTTGACGCCTTCAATCAAATTCTGGTTGCACATACGTTTTATTGCATCTACATTCAGATGCCCAAACCGATGATGCAATTGCTCAAGCGTGACGGTTGCAGCGCACGCTCGTTCAATAATTCTCTGTCGAAATACCATTCTCAATTGCTTACTGTCATCTTTCACACCCACAGCATATATTTCACCATCAACATCTGTCAGTTTGCAACCATCATGAGAAATCACCATTTGAAATCCTTTTAAGGTGGCGGATGCCGTTGAAAACAAGTTCTGCTTCAGTTCAGGAACATGCTGCACATTCCTAAGCAGTCTCTGTAGCCATTTGCCTTTAACCTTTGCTTCAATGAAAATTGTTCCCTTGCCACGAATCAATAAACGATCATTATTTGCTATTTGTACAAATCGCTCAACTTCATACTTCTCATAATCTGTAAACCATTCAATGCGACCTGTCATGTGCTCTGTTGCACCTGAATCAGCAATCCAAATATTCTCAAAATTCGTAGTGAACCCATCACCGACTTTGCCACAAAATGCAACATCACTACCAGCCTTTTTGCGTTCGGCAAACTTTTCACCGCGCTTCGGACATTCACGCTTCCAATGTCCAATTTCATGACATTTGTTACACTTTGTTTTCTTTTTCAGCTCATCAATCGATTCTGGCGTTTTTTTGTTAGTCCGCTGTTGTTTTGATTTGAATTTCGCACTGAAAGCCACATCTGATGGTGTATCGTCCACTTTGTTCATTTGATCCTCCTCCAGCTGCAAACGAGCCATCAAACTATCCAACGTTCTTGCTTCTTTTATGTTGTACCAAACTGTCTTGAAGTTACGAAATTTGGGTGTCAAACTGCTAATGATCCGCACCATTTTAATGTTCTCAGATAGTTTTTCACCTTGGTCTTCGATTTCATGTGCCATTCTACTCACCTTTGACACATACGACGTAACTGATTCGCCCTCAGTCATTTTCAAAGAAAAATATTCCTCATATAGATTCATAATGCGCACCTCGCTACGTTTTTCATGCAAATTAGACAACTTATCTGCAATCTCTTTCGCAGTCTTACACATAAGAATATGATTCGCTTGTTCATTGTCCACCGATGAAATTAAAATCGCCATTGCTTTGCCATCATTTCTGTCGTATTGACTTTTCTCAGCAGCACTTGCAGTTTCACCAGGAACATTGCCGGCCATGACGTCCATCAGGCCTCTGGATTTCATCACAGCATCAATTTGGAACTTCCACAACTTGTAATTCATACCATTTAATTTGTGATGAGTGACGGCTACACCATTGCCAGGTTTTTCGTCTACTAAATCCATTTTGTGTAATAAACAATAAGCAAATACTACGGTACGGCGACACGACTATGTATTTGACAATTTCTATTAAAATTTACAACTTATCTGATGCAAGAATGTTCTCGAATTTTTAACCAACACGTGGGCTTTCATACACGCATATATGTACATACATATATATTCATATACCACAGCAAAGCGCGAACCAATCTTCACTACGATGAATATGGCTTATTCAGTAGAATTACTTAGATTTTCCAACTTTTAAGTGTTCTTCAATTTTACTCGATAAATACAGCCACTGGGCCCATAACCTTTTGGATTTCAGTGGTTATAATAAAACAATAAAATAGTTTTAATATAATTTAATGAGAAAATAAAAAACGTGTTGTTACACTTGTGTGGTATAATGAGAACAGAATGTTTACAATGAATAGAAATTGCAATGTGTATATAAGCCGATAGGCGGCGCTGTTGAATAATAAAGACGTGAAGTAATTTAAATCCAACATTTACCAACCACAACGAACTCAAATGCATGCGAAAAAATGCCACAAATAATGATGTTGTAACCGAAAGTAGTTTAGTTGAAAAACGAAAGACAGAACGTAACAGTACTGGCACACCTATAACAATAAGTAACAATATTTTATATCACAGTATACAGTAAACCAGCCATTGACAATACCCACCAAACAATTTGTGTTGCCAGCAATAAGAAAATGTGTCGCCCTCGGAAACAAATTTATTGTCGGTAATATTGCCATCGAATCGATTTCCTATTACCGGTCGCTTTAAAACGTCCGCCGAAGGCAACTCGCCTGGGCGAGTCGTTTTCTTATTACCTGAATAAGTCCTTTT